GCGCAGTAATCCTTGGCGGAATCCATGAACTCCCCGGTGTTCCGATAGCCGGAGGTATCGACCAGCCACTCCGGACTGGCACCCTTTGCAGTAGGGTGCACCGGGACAAGCTTGAAGCCAGCTTTCTCAAGGCTGGCCAGCTGCTGGCGGGACTCTGCCCGCAGGGCGGCGATCTCCTTCTCCTTGGCGGCCGCCTCCGCCTCCGCTCGACGAGCGGCCTCCCGGGCCGCAGCGATGGCCGCGTCAGCTTTGGCCTTGGCCTCCTTCAGGTCGGCCCCCCGGGCAGCTTCAGCCTGAAGGACTAGAAGCCCAGACTGGATGACAGAAGAAAAAATAAGGATCAGAGGATGAACGTCAAGGAAAATAAGAGATATACTCAGATCTAGCAAGGAATTACCTGAAGAGCGGCTGCCAGGGCAGCGCTTGTCGCCTCAGAGGACGAACGGCTGGGCAGCTCTAGACCAGCCTTGAGGGCCATCTCCCTCCAGAGCTCTTCCGCCGGGCGGCTCAATGGCAAGGAGCCGGCGTCTTCGAGAGGGGGCCCGGTGGAGCCTGCTTCGCGGCCCCTCTTCTGTCTCTTCTCCGGGGCTTTCTCCGTCCCCTTCTGAGGAGCCGTCTTCGTGGGGACGACCGGCAGGGGAAGGGCGGCTTCGAGAGCAGGGGCCCCGGAACCCTGAGCCAGCACAGTGGCAATCAGATGCTGCTCACCCTCGGCAGTTCGCCGGGCAGCGTCAGAAGCCGAGGAGTTGGACGCCGAGGCGGGGGCATTCTTGGCCTTCTCCATCGCAGCTTTAGCAGCGGCCGCTTTGGCCTTCCTGGTCTTCAGGCACTCGGCGTGATTCATTTGATCTCTGTCTGGCGGAGGACCTGCAAAAAATAACAAAGGATTAGAAGACGAGCGGGGAATAGAATAAGACACTCACCTCGAAGGACAGGACCGCCCGGTGCCCCGAGACGAGCGTCGAAGGGTAGAAAAAGTCCAGGGACACGGACGGTACCTATGCCTGCCCCAGAGAGTGCCTCGAAGGTCAGAAATCCGGCTATAGGACGGACGCCACCCTCCAACACCTTCTCCGCATCCAGAAGCAGATCGTCGGACGGCTCCGGTGACTCAATCTTTGGGGGGTACCCATTCCACCGGAGAGGGAGAGGAGGCCCGTCGTATCGAAGGAAGAAAAAACGGTTCTTCCAGTCGTGGATGGACGAAGGGTAGTTCTTGAACAGCCGCCTCCCAGGACGTGCGGCCACGCTCAGATACCCGTCGCCGTTCTGAGGAGTGACGCGGTAGAAATAATGGAAGAGCTCCAGAGTGGCATCGACCCCCGCAAGTTTGCAGCGCACCAAGAAGGCCGATATGAATCTGTAAGAATTTGGCATGAATTGCGCCGGGGCCACCTGGAAGCAGTGGAAGAACTCCACATAGAACGCATGAAGTGGAAACCGCAGCCCGGCTTCAACGGAGTCCAGGTGAAGCATGATCATCCCCGGACGTCTCCTCATCACATGCTCAGCACCTCTCACACTTCAGACGAACGGCGGGGGAAGGAAGGTACGGATTTTATTGAGGGCCACGCGGGAGAGGACTTGGTCATGGTCAAGTGCACTCCTGATCGGGCAGATGTGGCGCTCCCTATCCGTGGGGATGCCCAGATCATACACCTCCACATCAGAACCAGATTCGGCTTCCTCTCCGGAATCATAATCAGCAGGACGCTCATTCAGGGGGACTGCATCAATGACATCTACTGCCCCGTCAGCACCCCCGTCCCCGGCGTCGCTCCCACTATCTTGAGGCACATCACCCGGCTCGCCACCAGCCCGGATGGTCCCCACCGTCGTGGCCGAACCAGAGGTTCCGGAAACACTCGTTTCTCCCTGGGAGCGTGCGTTCGCATTTTCAGAGGAGGAGCCCGAGGAGGAACCCGACGAACTGGAACCGGAACTTGAGGAAATCTCCATCGAAGTCATTCCGACTAGAAATCAGAGTAAGGAAAAGGAGTAGAAGGGGGGGAATTACCTTACAAAGGTATGGTTGGCCGAATTCAGGAAACTTGAAGAGCTGCAGAAAATCGAGAGCAAGAGAGCAGAAATTGGGAACCCTAATCCAGAGGGAAAACCCAGCATTTATAGGAGAAGCACCGATGAAGAAACCAACGAGGGGCTGACACGTGGCAAGGAGCGTATTCCGGCCCACGCGCTGTGCGTGGGATGGGAACGTAATGATGACACTTCCTCGAGAAAATGCGCCGCCGCAACATCAGCCGTCACCTCGTTCCCTGAACCGTCAACAGCTGTCAAGCACCATGACCACGAACGCACGCTTCCACCAGGTGCAATAAACACAAGTACCAAGATACGGACGTCTACTTCGGGGAGGTTCATACTTCCTTATGTCCTGCGCATGCTCAGAACATCAGAAGTGGGGGACTTGTGTTGGGTTAAGGGCCCAAGCCGAGGTCCGGCCCACTACCCATTTTGCCAGACGAACGTCCAGTTAGAACACTAGGCCGGCCCACAGGCCCATGTTCCTCGAGGATGGACGAATGTCTGGTGTTGGGGGACTCAGGCCCAGCAGCTCATCTCGACGGACGTCTATGCAGGGACGAGGAGCAGAACCACGGGCCACCAGGGATGGCGACGAACGTCCCCAGAGCAAGCCTGTAGTCATCGGAGAAAACCCAGTCCGCATGGTGAGTATCTATCAAGGCCAGGAGACGAGCAGCCGATATCTCTCAAGGGTCCCTTGGAGCAATCCAACTCACTCCCCGGTGGACGAACGTCCCCACTGATCCGGCGGGAAACCTAGATTCTGGCGGGAAGTGCATTTAATGCTAAAGATTTGGTAGTTGGGACACCAGCGGTCCACAGGATGCCACGTCACTACAGCCACCTGCCCATTGGCGGGTATAAATAGAAGCATTTATTCCATTGTAAAGGGTTGGCAACTTTCTATTCTTAGCATACTAGCTTCAGCATTCTTACTCGCAGCATTTCTAACTGCCTTGTAAGACGAACGGCCGACGTGCCTTTGTTAGCAAGTAGATTGTACTTAGGGGAGTTATTACGAAGTTAATAATACCTATTTACATTGCCTGCTATTACTCTTGTTCCCTGATCCATCTGATAATTGTGGGCTAGACACTCATACACCTCACTCCACTCGAAACCTTTGGGCTTACGTGTTGGGTCCACGGGTTGAAGGAATAAACCTCAACAATATATATATATAGGGTGCGGTTCTAGTGAGAACGATGCTTAACGTGAGAACGTGAGAACAAATCCTGATTGTTAATTAAGAGAATCAAACGGTTAATTACTTGGTTGGTGCACGATTAATTCGTGCATTGCGATACACACAAATGCATTTGGAAAACTAACATTACGGTATGTGGCTTGCATAAAGGGTGAAATTGTCAATTTTTTTTAGCAATCCTTTAATATAGGAACGGTTAGAGGTTATCCACTACCTAGAAATTAGGAAAAAATAAAAGGTCAAATCAAATAAAATATTTTAGTTCAAAAATTGATTTAACTTTTTAAATTATAATCTGATTTTAACAAAAACTATATCAAATTAAATAATTTTTTATAACCTTTCATATGACACCAATATGTCATATATAATTTTCTTTAAAAAAAATGGTATAATATGTATACAATAAACCACTAGAAACATCTTCATATATCGCATGCACAAGAATATGTATCAAACACACAATCAGTAATATCTAATGCACAAGAACCGGTATCTAACACACAATACCTATAAGAAAAATTAAAACAAGTATCTTAAACACAAAATCCAATATATAATGCACAAAGAACAGTATCTAACATACAACAATTAAAAACCAATTAATATCTAAAACATAAGGATTTCACACAATTTAAACTAATATATAACACACAAGAAACAATATCTAATTCACAAGAAATATTAGTGATTAGATACATAACTAACGCACAAGAGCGGTTATCTAACACACAAGAGCACGAAAAGTAAAAACTAAGTAATATCATAACAAGTATGTCATAAACTTGTAATGCTTATGAACAGATATCTAACACATAAACAGAAATATGTAATGCTTATGAATAGATATTAAACACACCGCTCATTTATGTAATGCACATGAACTTGTATATATCTCACATTTTGTATATGTCAATTGTGCATTACTGAATGTGTGTTATGCATATTAGAATAAGTGTACATTAGAATAATTTGTGCATCGCTATATGTTAGTTGTGCACTATAGTCAATTGTGTAAAAATATTATTTAGAGTTTTTGAGAAAATGGTCTTTGAAAATACAATAGTGCACAAAAGTACTTTACTTTTAAAAAAAATCATTATTAAAATGAAGACATGGCTCCCCACGTTGAAAATGTCAAACAAAAATAATGGAATGCACTAAGAATATTTCCTTTCCTAAAATGAAGCATACGTATTAGTTGAAATGACGGTTACAAAACTGTCAAAATGATTTATACAAAAATGCCCTTTCATACTTATTCGATCATCTCAATACATTGCATAATTTGAATGGTTCAGATTTGTTCTCACGTTCTCACGTTAAGACTCATTCTCATTTGAACCAAAATATATATATATATATATCAATTCTTAAATTCATTGGACAACAAAAAAAAAAATAACTCGGAACCGGCCCGACCCGGTAAACCGCCGGGAGGCCCGGCCTGACCCGGAACCGTCGACTACCCAGGCCGGCTACGGTTCCCCCTTTCCCAAAAAAAGCCCGGCCGGGCCCGGGCCCAGGCCCAAGTCCATCACTACTTCATATGGACGCAACCAGAGGAAGATCAGCTTCCCGGAATATATTTGACAATTGTAAGTTTCAAAAATACGTAACCAATGACCTACCACAATGTTTTAATTCTAATAAAGTGAAATAGTACCAGATGATGTACACTCATACCAGATGAAATACGTAAACATAAAAACTTATGAGTTTTAATTTTCGAGGTAAAATTGTACCATGTCAATAAGCACATATATAAAACATGGAAATAGCAAGACAGAAGTCATCCACGCATTATTATGAACCTAAAAGGACAAGGCGCATACATGTGAGCATGATCCATGTATGAGAAAACCTAATCATGTTCTTAGGGATGGGAAACAAAGTGGGGTAGAGATCTAAACATATGCTATTACAAACATTATATTTGTATATTCACTGTCATGCTGACATACAAGACCACAAGTCACAAGTCACAACTGAAGGCCAAATTGTATACACTGTCATGCAAGACTACCGTCATCATCACTTTTTGCAATATAATGGCCTGTTTCAAAACAAAAAGGGGAGAAATGTTACCTGCTAGCAGCATTAAAAAGGGCGTTCCTAATTTAATATGACTGAACCCGGAAAACTTTGGAAAAGGCTCAATACAGCGAGTCAAAAAGTAAAGCACGTGGCTTAACTTCTCCAGCGAGATATAAGGGTATCTCACTACAGCAAAGTGACAAAAAGGTTGCGAAAAGAGTAACTATTAACCATGAACCTTTATCCACTTTCGACAAACCACCGAATCGTCAAACCCATCACAAGAACAATGGGCCATACCCATAAAAATGGACACGGGAATTTGAACTAATGATATTTTCACGAGTTTCCTTCAGAAATCGCGCAATCAAGACAACGCACCAGGCAACTCACCCTTCAAAGCTAAAAAACATAAAGCAATAGATGCATTATCAGATTCATTACAAACTCATAGAGAGATGGTTAAATTAAAAGCCACCATAATATAAAATTGTTTCAACCTGTAAATGCACCGCCACCCTCTAACAATGTCCCACAAACCTAAGATACATCATGATAGTAGGTTGTGATAAAATATATGTATAACCATCTTCAGAGAAGTGTATTCTTGGAACTTTACACATCTTAGATTTCGTAAAGTTATTGTGTCGCACAATTCCCTTGAAGTACGAAACCTGATGCTTAACTTGCATAAGACAAATTTGCCTCGACTTTAGAGATCACTCCGCAATAGCGCCTGCTATAGCAGACGCTACTCCCGCTACTCCCGCTACTCCCGCTACAGACAAATAGGTGGTCTTGTAATGCCCAACCCCTCCTCCACTCTGCAATGCTGCTATAGCGCGCTATTAACAATGCTGGTTTATAATCCATCATCAATTAATAAGAGAAGACATCAATGCATTAACCATGAACCTAGATAAAAAGAAACTACAGAGACAAGGAGCGTGTTTGGTGCTTCACCATAAGTTAAATTACGGCTTAAGTGATAGAAACATAAGAATAACCTTACCCAGAGAAAAAAATGTCCAGGATAGCGTCATGCTTTCACAAATAGGGCAACATATTTTCCAGGTCGAAGGAGCAAAGTCAGGAAACTGAAGTAAAGCAACTGTCTCTATGGGGCAGAGGAGTGCAACCTACCTAACTAATACAGTGAGCACTTCTTTATGCATCCACACATTGGGCTTCTATTGAAAAAAAAGGACAAGGAATAAATATACCTTATACTGTAGGGGTAAGAACATATATACGCCTCCCTCTCTTTGTGGGAACCAAAAACTGTTAAAATTTAAATTTGAGATCAGATATACCCTAATGGCCTAATGTTGCGTTAGTACAAAATATCTCCCATTGTATAGTTGGAAGACATTAAAGCAAAGGTAAAATTCACTGAAATTCTCTTCATGATTCTCTTTTCCTTCGTAGAAATAGAAGTGACTAAATGGAAAAATTCATCATCACTTTAGCTTTACTGCCTTAGTTCACGTGAAACCCAGACTACATGATGTACAAACTCTAGTTTGAAGAATCTGTCAACGCACACAAATATCACCCAAACGGAAAAATAAATTAATGAGTACATCATAGCCATTCGCAAGTATGAATAGAGGTCAAATGACTAGTCCTGATTTCAAACATACTGGTTTAGTAAAATACATAACCATGATTCCAACTGCTGCTCAATCGGATTAATTTAAGTGATCACTTTTTCTTCATTTATTTCACCCTTGTTTCAAAATGACATGCTTCCCTGCCATGACTCCACAGATTATGTTAGTAATACTAATGAAATGTTATAAAGGGCAGTTTTAGACAAATGTTTTAATATTTTAAGTTTTTTGTTCCATAAAATATAACAGGGGTGTATGTGTTCTTCACACCAATAGCGTACCTTTCTCCGTTGAGAAAACCAACTTCAATCATGACCAATTAATATGTTGGTATCTTCGAAGCTACAAATCACAAACTTTCAAATCCAACTTTATGCCAATAGCAATTCATTCACGAATGGTTGAAAAAAGAAAAGAAGTGTGTTCAGAATTGGTAATGTAAATTTTTTAGTGGTGTATAGAGGTGCTTTGCCCATCCGAAGAAGTTTATGATTTCAATTTGACAGTCGGAATGTTGTTTTTGTACACTGGCAAGCATAGTGAATATATTTCTTCATTGTTTACCTTTTTATTCTATTCTACAGAAATAAGCCAGAAGAATTTTCACTCTATAGCTTCGGTGTAATTTTTAATGAAAATTACCAAGTGCGTATTGCACGAGTGAGATGCTACCTTAGCCAAACGATAATATTGAATGAGCTGAGACGCATAAAGCACTCCAGTGTACAGAAACATATGACCTTAAAGAAGTAGAACTTACCGACCGCAAGTCCCAGTCCAGGCAGTTCCCCATATATGGAGGCCTTGTGCATTCTCTCCTTCGTTATCTCCCAGAGTCCACCAGATAGTGCACCACACGGATTAGGAAGACCGCCATTAGAAACCTGTTTTTTCAACTAATTATTTACTACACTATACTCCAATGAATTTAATTGACCTTCTGAAAAGCCATACAGGCAAGGCAAGTCTTCACCTTTGGCTGTGCGTCAGTATCCTGACCTACTCCTTTCAAAGTGAGTACAGGAGGTGCTTCTCGTTTTCATACAGCTGCCAGTAACAGGAAAACACGCTCAAATTTCTTCGCATGGAAGCAAAATCAGAATGGAATTTCACATATCCTTGAGAAGAATTACGGAGAGCGAATAAAATAAAATTGAAAATACGCAAAACGAAAAATAGAGTTAAAAATCACTTTCCAGCTTCTTGCTTCAAAAACGTTAAACACAGGGTTCTCAAACATGTGCTTGCCCTTAACTTTCTTGTAAACGCTTTTTGGTTTTCTTGTCACTAACATAATCTTTTAGCCCTAAACATATATGCAAAACGCTCCCTTCATGACAAGGCAAAACAGAATATGCGGGAAAAATGGACATTTTTGTACTTCCATTCAATATTACATTACAAGTCACTTTTTTAGCAAACTTTTACTTTTAAAATTTAATCACTTCCAATATAAAACACTACCGGCTTTTATCAAGCAGTTTCTCTATAATCACTTAGAAAAATCACCTTTTCAAAAGCACAATAAATAGCAAGCACTTCCTTAATATCACACTTGGTTATATTATACTTCCTCTGTTCAGAATTAAATGCAACATGGAGATTGGGCTCACACATTAAGAACTTTGGATAAAAGTTTAGGCTTCCAATTCTGCCCTTATTTCTACTGTTGGACTGTTTAGTCTTGCTCGGAATATCTGACAGGAGTATAGGATCCCACGCTAATTTTATCTTTCCACTTCTTCGGATTTAAATATCTCCGGCCTCTTCTCCCTGCTGAGTTTCTGTAAATTTCTACTGTGAGCACCGAATGCTGATGGCTATGACTTCACCAATGCTGATGGACTGTTCTAAACAGAAAGCAAGAACTCGAACCGTCTCTGTTGCCGGCAAAAAGAGACCACGGAACACTCATTTCTTTCTAGTGATGCTGCTCTGCGAGTTTGGGGTCACTCTAAAAGGAAAATTGGTATAAAGATCAGAAAGCCCTTTCTTTGCAGATTCATTTGTATCTGAACTGGTAGATTCAGAGCTCGAGACAACACTACAATGTCCAATGCCTCGTATGTGTTTGCTTCTTTCTGTGGAATTCCAGATATCATGCATAGGAGAAGGGGAAAGCTTTACCGAAGCGGGTTTTTTATCCCAGCGGTCTAGCCATATCAGGGCGGATGAACAGCATCAGGGGAGCACTGCCGCTTGTCTGGGGCACGTCACCATCAGATTTCAGCCGGAGCAGGAGACCAAAGCCTTGGAACTTCTGGCCAAATGGCCGGAAATATTCTATGCCTCCTCATTCACGGCAGAGAAGGACTCGCACTAAATGGTCTGCAGCAGAGAGGGCCCATAGCAGATTTGATGATGCTTCGCCCGAATGATGGTGTTCCTTCAGCGGCGTCAATGGAATTCTTTCAGCGGCGACCAGCGGCGTCAATGGAACAGCCTATCGATTCAGACATGCATCGCAGGAAAACAAAGACAAGCCTCGCCATTTAGTGCCTCCTGTGACCAGAGATATCGTCCAGGTCGTGGAGAGAATGCTCCAAGTGAACTCGTTTCCAGGTGGGCTGCGGTAAAACCTGGTACTCTCCATAGGTATCACACGGCTGACTCTCAATTTTTAGATGGTTTGGAGTTTTGATCGAATCTAACTCTTTTTGGTTTAATGTTCTTGATAGCAATGTTATGCGCATTTCTGAAATAAAACAAGGGATTGTATCCGCAATTGATTTCGATCTTGAAAGGGCAATTTGGTTGAAGCACTCTATTCCCAAATTAATTTCCGATAATTGGTGTGGCAATAGATTAGAGCTGTATGATTCACTTTGCATACTCTATGATGATAATTTCTTTGGAGGTTTTATACGCATTATTGCGAAAGGATGTGACTCTTTGTTTATTCCTGAAGGGCGAAATAGTTTAGGGATTAATCAATTTCTGGTGGGGATTACACGAGCAATTACACTGATGGCAGAAATTAATACCAGACAGACGCCACAAGCAATTGAACAGGCTACCACGGAGGATTTTTCGGATAATGTGGATAAGAACTGTGACTTGGAGTTTCTGTCCTTGGATAGGGTTTATCCTCATTCTAGTGAGACCACACTTTCGATTTCGGGTGTTTTAATACAAGTTGACATTGAGCAACCTGCTTCGTCGGATCATGCAATGGATTTGGTTTCTGTTGATTATATTTTCACGAGTTTCCTTCAGAATTCACACGAACAAGACAACAAACCAGGTACAGACAACTCACCCTTCAAAGCTAAAGAACATAAAGCAATAGCTGCATTATCGGATTGATCATCAAGGTAAGTTTTTACGGGTAGTAGGTCTTGCAGATTAATTACAAACTCATAGAGAGATGGTTAAATTAAAAGCCATCATAGTATAAAATTGTTCCAACCTGTAAATGCGCCGCCACTCTCTAACAATGTCCCACAAAACCTAAGATACATCATGAGAGTAGGTTGTGATGAAATATATGTATCACCATGTTCAGAGAAGTGTATTCTTGCAGATTTTGTATAGGTATTGTGTTGCACAATTCCCTGATGCTTAATTTGCATAAGACAAATTTGACTCGACTTCAAAGATCACTCCGCTATAGGGAGCCGCTGTAGCGGACTCTACTCCTGCTAGAGACAAACGCTACAGGTGGTCTTGTAATGCCCAACCCCTCCTCCACTTGGCTATGCTGCTATAGCGCGATATTAACAACACTGGTTTATAATCCATCAATTAATAAGAGAAGACATCAATGCATTAACCATGAGTGTAGATGAAAGACCAGCAAACATAAAACGAAACTACGGAAACAAGGAGTGTGTTTGGTGCTTCACCATAAGTTAAATTACGGCTTAAGTGATAGAAAGATAAGAATAACCTTACCCAGAGAAAAAAAATGTCCAAGATAGCGTCATGCTTTCACAAATAGGGCCACACATTTTCCAGATCGAAGGAGCAAACTGCAGTAAAGCAACTGTCTCTATGGGACAGAGGGAGTGCAACCTAACTAATACAGTGATCACTTCTTTATGCATCCACACATTGGACTTCTATTGAAAAAAAGGACAAGGAATAGATATAACTTATAATATAGGGGTGAGAACATATATACGCCTCTTCTTTTTGTGGGAACAAAAAACTGTTGAAACTTAAATTTGAGATCATATATTACCCTCTCCTAATGTTGCGTTAGTACAAATTTGAGATCATATATTACCCTCTCCTAAGGTAAAATTCACTGAAATTCTCTTCATGATTCTCTTCTCCTTCGTAGTAATAGAAGTGACTAAATGGAAAAATTCATCATCACTTTAGCTTTGCTGCCTTAGTTCACGTGAAACCCAGACTACATGATGTACAAACTCTAGTTTGAAGAATCTGTCGACGCACACAAATACCACCCAAACAGAAAATAAATTAATGAGTACACGATAGCCATTCGCAAGTATGAATACAGTAACTCTATGACTAGTCCTGATTTAAAACATGCTGCTTTGGTAAAATACATAACAATTAATCAAAGTATACCATGATACTTGATTCCAATTGTTTCTCAAGCGGATTAATTGAAGTGACCACTTTTTCTTCATTTATTTCACCCTTGTTTCAAAATGACTTGCTTCCCTGCTATGACGATAGAGAACACACTCATTATCGAGAAAAGTGGGTTTTAAGTTAAATGCTTTTAGACTCCACAGATTATGCTAGTACTACTAACGAAATGTTAAAAAAGGGCAGTTTAGAACCATGTTTTAGTATTTTAAGTTTTTTGTTCCGAAATAAAGAACACGGGTGTATGTGTTCTCACCTACATAGCACGGAAACTCTCGGGAAAGAGTATGTTTCTCGTTTTGGAAACTCGAGTAAACTCTTTGGAAACTCTCCAAATAAGCGTATTTTGAGCAAAAGTTGACGTTTCCCGTTTCCTCATGATTTTCGCGTTTCCGTGCAACATACTTCTCACACCTATAGCATATGGCTATATTTGTACCTTTCGCCATTGAACCATTGAAGGAAGGGGAGTAATTGATATGAAAGCACAACCTATCTCAGTTTTAAAAATGAATTCCGTACCAAACAGATTTGTGAACACTGAACAAGATTCAGCCTCAACATTGAATAGCCTTTAGGAAATGTGAGCACATGATTCAGTGGATATTTGGAAAACAAAAGCAAGAAAGGAAGGTCACAAGATTACCGTAGCTTCCTCAATAGCTACGTTACTAGAAACACACAAAAATCAGGCATGAAAGGCAATTTTACTATTTCTTGTTATCTCTGGATGTTCTCATCACCGTCCATTCCATTCTTGGTCCAAAAAGAGTTTGCCGATTCATGTAAGCCGACCCCAAACTGCTTTGGGACTAAGCCTCGGATGTTGTCGTTTTAGGGAAATCTGGAACTGATGGACTGTTTTAAAAAGAAAGCGGGAATTTGAACCAGTTGTTACCAGCAAAAAGAGACCACGGAATACTTATTTCTCTCTAGTGATGTTGCTCTGGGAGTTCGGGATCACTCTAAAAGGAAAATTGGTATCAGAAAGCCCTTTCTTTCCAATTTCGTTTTTTATCAGAACTGGTGGTATAAAAATAAGTGCCCAGAGCCAGATAATCAACAATAAAAATATCAGATTGGTGTTGAGAACAGAAAAATAAAAATCAACGGGGTAAACAGTTGCCCATATAATCAATAATAAAAATACTGTTGCCCAGAGCCAAAAGGCTAAACTCCAATTTTATTTCAAGATAAGCAAGAATGAACCCTGGCAAGGGTATAAATAGCCTTCCAAGAGAAAACCTAATTGAGCCCAAATTAATTAAATCCTAATTAAGCTCATAGTAACTCTACAAAATACTCTACCAATAATAGACCCAAACTAGATTGGCTAAAAAGTTTAGCCAAAAAATAAAAATAGAAAAATGGTAGAATACCCTTACCAGAAAAGCTTTAGTAAGATTGGGGAGTAAAATCCTTCCAAGCATGAATTAACTGAAAGCCTCATTACCTCACATGGTTAGCAACTAATACAAGCTCAAGATCACAGCAAACATCTTTTAAATCTGCTGACCATTTGGATTTGAGAACCCCAGTAACAGCAACATCGTCTGCAAAAAAAAAATCAAAATACATCAGTAAGTTGGGATTGGCAAAGAATGTTGGCAACTGTAATGTCTGAAAGTGCTACTTGATGTTATCCAGACCTGTGATGGATCCCGGGTCATGCAATATGAGTTGAATGACTAAAAATAAGTAGAGGATTCATCTCATGCAAAGGTAAGTGAATATGTGTTGACTAGTATCTCACCCGTGCGTTGCACGAGATGTATTATACAACTATTATAAATAATCTATTATTTGGGATGAACAAAGATTAAATTCACAAATAAATTGAAACAAAATTCAAGGAAGGATGAACAGGTAGCCAAGAAATCCATCTGATATGATCATCGAAATAAACAAACATACATTAGGCAGCTGCAATGTGTTTTAATAATATAGTGACCATAATTATATAATAATATGAATAGTTATAACAAAATAGCCATAAACTTATGTTTGTTTATTCCATGATGATACTATATGCAGTCAAGGAAGGATGAGCACGATGGTCAGAAAATCCATAGTTTGGTTCAAGAAATCAGCAACGGCGTAAGGGATGTAAACTGCAGTTTTGTTTAGCTTTATTAGAATAAAAAAAGGGAGAAACAGAGTTTATATTTAGAAACAATTTGAACTAACTTAAAATTTCTTGTCCAATTAGTGGCACATTAATCACCATCTAAAATGTTCTCCTTTGTTTATCACTATAGGAAAGGTTCTCATTTGTATCCATTTTTTATTGTTCATGTTATATGACTATTTCACGATGATACAAAATGTTAGAACTGCGTTGTGTGTAGCATAAGTATCACAAAAGTTGACACATCAGGACTGAAATCCAGTAACCGTTTTCCTTTGTGTCTAAGCACTTATAGCTTCTGCTTTGAGTTTGAACCAATTACCAATCTGTTGGTATCGTCATCATACAAGCTACTAAATGAAATTATCATAACTGTTAGCAGCCTATATAGAGAGAAAAAGAAGGCACAAACAATGATTAGATTTAAGCCCACAGTATCAGTGCAAGTGTGCAACTCCATTTTATTTTCTAATCTACTGTAGTTATCTATATGCATCCAAATGATAGACACACGTGAAAGTCTCGGGTAATAAAATGAGGGTATGTGTCATACTTGGAAAAGACAAGAATGCATGAGACTAAATAATATCAGAATTCTCAAGTAACATAACATCCAAACTATGACTGTGATTGGATTTTGGAAAATGTCGAGAAAAGAAACTCGCGAGGAAAGTTACTTTCTTACGCTTGGTTTTAGATGGGAAAAAACAAAACAAAATGGAGTATGAGTAATGTATATAAACTTTTAAATATGTTTAGATTTCTGAGTATTTATATTGCAGAATAATCTTTTAAAAAAGAAGTTGAACAAATAATGTACATTTAATGAGTTTGAATAATCTTTTATTTTCCTCGACATTGTATTTCCATCTAAAGTTCATCTTTAATCAATTTTTCCCCTACATTCTCTGCCTGCCATATTCCGACTTCCAAAAGTACCCCATACAAATAAAGATTTAAGCAACGAAAGAGGGATCAGAGGTATGTACAGGTGATAGAATTTTCTTTAGCTGTTCTTCCGGGGATTTCATTCCTCGCAGCAAGGACTTGAATGAATTACCCTGAAAAGTTATTTAGAAGATCATAAAATCAAGACTTTGAATGAGACATCATTTTGTTAGTATTACGGAGAACGGGAGAACTATTATTGAACTGTTAAACTAACACTCTGCTGATAGGTCGAACTACTGCAAGATAATATCAGCCTCATGAAGAGTCATGATCATTGATTTTCGTCTTATTTCCATTCAAAATGCTTTTATAGAAGCAACTTGTGTGTCATTCCTGTTGCAAGTGATTTGTATATTCTATTAGAGTCTATCAGGCTTCTAAACTCAAGGACTTTTGAAGCATGCAACGAAATTTAAAATTATACCAAACTGAAAAGTTCTTAAATACCACTAAGCAAAGTTAAAAATACTACTGGGTATTTCGTACCCACTAAAGCTTTGACATTTGGAGATTAATACTCAATTAGCTACAAACGCATAAAAAATGAGGCTCTGCCATTTTTATTGAAGACTTGGGCAGTCTACTGATTCTTTAAATTGATCAGGATGTTCTCATTTAAATAGAAATAAGTGATAAATGGAGATCAATTTTTGGATTTCTTATTGTTCTAGAACCCAGCAAACATGGCAGTTTGTTGCTTCTCTCTGTTTTGAATTTGAGATTTTATGGTTCAAAAGTCATAAATAATAACAAAATTAACAAAGATTCTTATTTCAAGATTAAGAGCTTGAAATAAGAACATCTTTTTCCAGGAAACGGTATACACCCTATTCTAACCCATTTTGAATCGAAATATCACGCCATTAATAATCCCCCATTTAAAACATATGTGTACCTCATAAAGAAGTGTTAGATGGAAGAAAACCACTATTCTAATAGGTGATATTAGTAATCACTTTGGGATCATTTAAATAATTTAGATTGTTTTTCATAAACATGTAAGACAATCAAGAGTTGGACTGCAATTTTGGAGATCTTATGGGAATTTTCATTGCTAGGATCTGTGAAAAATGAAAGAGTTTGAACTTGGCAAATATCGGATTAGTGGATATAGAGAATGCGAGTAAATCAATAAAAAAAAATTGGGATAAGGGTCAGATAGGGCCTCGAACTTGAAAAAAAATGTCAAATAAGGCCATATTTAGGATGCTCTGTCCGGCCGACGCCATTTGGGGTGGTTCCCGGTGGAATTTTTTGATGAATTTTTTTGAGAATCTTATTCATTAAGTCTAGTATACTCATATCAAATTTGAACTAAAACTTTAATCGGGAAGGTATTCAAATGAATTCTTGAAGATAACTGTGCCGTTAAAAGCGCAGTTATCTTCATGAATTCATTTGAATGCCTTCCCGATTGAATTGTTAGTTCAAATTTGATATGAGTAAACTAGACTTAATGAATAAGATTCTCAAAAAATTTTATCAAAAAACTCCACCGGGAACCACCCCAAATGACGTCGGCCGGACAGGGCATCCTAAATATGGCCTTATTTGACATTTTTTTTCAAGTTCGAGGCCCTATCTGACCCTTATCCCAAAAAAATTGGGTTCATTTTATTTTACTTCAAAAGGAATATCAGATAGTGAGATAGTCTAACTCAGTTTTGTTACATAGTCAACCCATATATTGTTTTCACATTGTTTCTGAAATGAACATACATAAAAACACCACCCACATAAGTATATAGGCTATATTATATGTTCACTATATATCCTTCTGTTTTTAAACTTCAAAATAATAGGGCCTTCTCCCCACTCTAATTTGTTAGGAATATAAAAACACACTCTTCTAGATTGGTGAATATATAGATTGGTGAAACTCGAAGTTAGTGAAATGAACAATTCAACTTTTACTTCACATTAAAAAGCGGCTAGAACAATATTTTCAAGAAACATTTATTCATCTCTTATTGAACAAAAATGAAAATTCATGCCAGCATGTAAAGTCTCGGGTCTGAGTAGTATACCTCCTTAGAAAGGGTGCGATAAATTGGACGTAGAGCTGGATGAAGAGATTGAGGCTTAGCATTGAAAAGATTGTATCTGCTGCGGTTGAGATTTGAAATTTGAAGCGAATGTTCAGATAGTAGGGCTTGGAACACAGCATGTTGTTGTTTTTGTGACTCGGCAATGTGGAGTAGTGAATAGTGATGCGGCTGCCCAAATTGGGACTGCAAACACACATTTGGGCTCTTCCTCTTGTTGCACATTACAAAGTCTCCATGGATTAACTAATGATTCTTCTACTTTTTTTATCTTCTGCCATTATGGCAACCTTGTCGAGAAAATAAGAAGTCTGAAATCAAAAGCATTTTGATTAGTAATAATGAAAAAGATTCACAAAATTTTATTTGAACTGTCAAATTGTAAGAAGTTTAAATATTATGTGTCTGCTCTTTAAATGAAAATGAACAAAATATAAAATAACATAGAAAAATAAGATGAATTTGTTTTAAAAGATAACTAAGGTGAAAACACTGTTCCACAAACACTTACTTCATGCCAAGATCACAAACACCAACTCCATGCCAAGATTTATTAGTGTGAGCTGAAACACAGTGCTTTTCGGCATGATTATGACATCATTAACCTATGAATTAACCTATGAATTGACATCCAGAAAACCGTAGGCTAAAAACAAAATTCTCTTTTGATGTCATGATTCTCTTTACATCCAAGCCCAAAAAACACACATGCAATTAAAACTAAGAAGACCAATGTTTTCAGCCCACTAATCATCTAGAAATAAAAAGGAATTTAAACATTGACAACCAAAACTGAAAATTCAATCACAGTGATTTAGATGAGTCGTATATGGCCCCTACACAAATAATGCTTCACTGGTTTTCTGAAATGTGAAACAAATTATGGTGAATTGAAGTGTTGCTAAGCCGAGTTTCTGTGATAGTGAAGAACAATCAATCAAAAATGAATAATATATATGTACATGGTATATGATATAGAATAAAGAAAAAGTTATGATATTAGAAATATTGACTAATTAAAAAGAAATTCAAAGACTCACCAAAGTCTCTCTTTTATCTCTACTTTAGAAAACATAAGGAGGCTACCCATTATATGCACTCATAAATATTATATTGATTGCAGAGACTGTAATCCTGCACATTGTTTCTCAGACTAAGATAATTCCTAATTTAGAATGTATATTAAATAAAGTAGATAAAAATGCTAGCTTTTAAAATAACTTAATTGAAAACTTAATTAAAAACTGAAAATGACAACACAGTTAATAGATATAACTTTAGTAGATATAATTCATTATAAATATGAATAACAACTTTACTCATCATTTTGACTAATAAAATTGGTCCCTGGAGTAGTCATTTTCTTGGCATGTATCCAAGAAAATCTTTTTAAGATTATTATTGTGCTTAAATTAATAGGTACGGGTACAGAAAGTGTAATAGAAAGAATTCGTGTTCCCTAATGGAATATATAAAAAATAACAACAGAACATCATCATAGCATCAACATCACTTTCAAATCTTCAAGTGTGTTCAAATCTTCACCCAATTCAGTCAAAGCTAAAACTAACAAATCCGAGGCCTTAGGTTATATTGATGTGAAAACTTCATATTTTTGGGTGTTATGAGCCTGACAGCCAAGGATGAACTAGTATTAGTACATCAAAAATTTAAAATAATAACAAAAATTAACGAAAACCAAACATGTGAATATATATTAGTTGTTTCCTGATTTGACAGAAAAAAGTTTTTTTAACATCAGAATGTGATAAAACCAAGAGCAGACATGTAAGAAATATCGTTGAGGAGTTTTAACAAACACATTTCAAACAAAGAATTGATTCAAATTGGATCACAAAATATTAAAGTGAAAAGCAGAAATTAAATAAACCAAGAAAGTTGGTATCCAGCAAGTTGAATCACAATACATCAGTAAGTTGGTATTGGCAAAGTGCTATTTAGAAAGGGGAAGGAATATACCGTAGGAAGAGAATAGAGAGAAGGTATATTATATTATTATATTAATATACTAGTATTATTAATATAATATTATTATCCTAGTATACTACTCCGTAGTATATTATCCTAGTATACTACTAGTATTATACTACTAGTATTATATTATTATTATTATTATTATATTATTATTATATTATTATTTATTATTATTTATTATTATTATTATCCATTATTATCCTACTTCCTTTCCCGTTCCTTTTCCCTTTTCTTTCCTTCCTTTCCTTTTCCCTTCCCTTTCCTAGTTCCTTTTCTTGCCCCGTTTCTTTTCTTTCCTTTCCGGTTCCTTTTCTTTCCTTTCCGGTTCCTTTTCCCTTTCCTTTCCGGTTCCTTTTCAATTCCCTTTCCTTCCTTCCCCTTCCAGTCCCCCTTTCCCCTCGCACCCTTGCTTCTGCCCCCCCCCCTTACCCCCCCCCACGGGGGGTTTGGCGCCACGCGGCGCCACCCGGGCAGCATAACGCCCCCGGCGCACCGGACTACGCGGAGGCAGCATAACGCCCCCAGCGCGCCGGCCCTAGACCTAACCTAACCTAAGCTAAACCCTAACCTAAACTAGGCCTAGCCCTAGCCTAAACCTAACCTAACCCTATGGCGCCCAAACCGGGAGCGCCAAACCGGAGGCCGGCCCGAAACGGGCAGCACACTAGACCCAGCGGGACAGGACCGAGAACAGTCCGTGAGTCCAACTGTTGGGTGGTTTTCTGCTCTACTGCTCACTCGTATTTATCGGCACTCGGAGGAGAGGCTGAAAGCTCCGGTATCGGTGTGGGATTTATTTTTCTTTAAAAAGTTTCCTTCTCCTCTGAGACAAGCTGGACAGCAACCGCCATAGGCATAACATTCTGCAAACCTCGAACGCTGAAAAGCTCACTCTCTCTTCCCCTCCATCGCCCCCTCTTTCAAGGAAAACCACAGCAACTATGGAAGGACCTCGACTTCTCTCGACGGCAACTCTCATCGCCAATGGCCTCCGAAGCAGATCTGGCTCGCTTACGAAGACTGGCCGGCCAGCTGGTTTGGCTTCCAGAGAAGAATATGAAGCGACACGGATTGGTTTTTGAGAGCTTCCCCACACTTGTACTGAGGAGTACTGACCCAGACCGGTCTGGGCAAAAGAATGCAATTGGTCTTCGGAGTATATGCTTTTGCAAAATGTATGGATTAGTGCTAAATGTTAAATATATATAGAAAGTATGATACTTTTTTTGGAATTATTGTTAATTAATTAATTAATTAAAAGTATTTACCAAAATACTGCTGGTTTAACCAGGGTTGGGTAAAGTCGCCCAACGGTTGGGCGACTTATAAGTCGCCAAACCGTTTGGCGACTTCGTCCAACCGTTGGACGACTTTCCCTTAAGTAAAAATCGGGACACGCCCCAAAACAGAACCCTGCGTAAACATCACTCCCCAAATCCCCCAAGGCGCACCGACGACAGACGAAGGAAGAAGACGACCGAGCTCGTATCCAACTCCGGCGAACCTCCATTTCCGGTCTCCCCACTCCGGCAAACCTTCACCTTCTTCTGCAACACTCCTTCTTCTTTCTTCTAGGTAAATAAAACTTCATTTCATCTCATTTTGAACTTAGGGTTTTGAATGTTAAAAATTTCGAATTTTTGGATTGTGAATTGATTGTGAATTAAGTTGTTGTGAAATGTGGATATGTATGAAATGTTGAAATTTGATTTTAAATTGATTGTAAATTTAATGTGTATTTTGACATTTGGGCATTTGGGTAGACTTGAATGTAGCTAAATTTGGGTATTGAAAGTTAGACGTGAATGTAGATATCAAAATTTTGGTAGTTTCATATTCAAATGTGATTTGTTTTTGAATTTTGACTTTTGGATATATTACAATTTTGGTAGTTTTTTCTATTGAAAATTTGATTGTGTTTAAAGTGTGTATATTGATGCTTACTCATGAATGTTGGACAATGAATTGTTATTAGAATATGGATTTCTCAAGCTTCCCAATCATATGTCATTGGGGAGGAAACTATTATGAGGATGCTGGCCAAATATGCCTTGAAGGTGGTAGAACCAGCTTTGTCATGGTTTCTCGTGGCGCTTGCATGATGGAGATCCTTCAAAAAATACATGCAGCCACAATGATTCATCCTAGCCGTTCTTTGCGGTTGAAAATGAAATTTCCCATGAACGGGGGAAAGTACATGCTTATGCCCCTCATTGATGAGCTAGCTATAACAAATATGTGGGGCATAACTCAGATGGAAGATATGTCGACGTTTGAGCTATACATTGAGGAATCCTGTGACGCCTATGGTACTCAATCAACATCAAATGCTGTCGTATCTACGTATGATGTGGGAAAGGAGAGCTGAGCTAGTTGTGGCCGGGACACCGACATATGTGCCATCTGTTTCAGGAGACTACATGGGATGGTATTACAGCATCACTCGTTTGTTTGTGTCTCCTTCGTTCAGACTCCCTACTCATCATTATCAGCCTAGTTCCTTAGCTTTGCATCTTACGGTGAGTATATTACTAATTAGTAAAGTAAGTCATTTTATTTATGTAATATTTGTATATATTTCAATGTAAATGTAATTGTGTTTCACATTTCAGACACGAGCTTTGCAGCGCATACATCAGCGGGCTACTGCCACAGTGACTGATAGTCCTGATGTGGACTTGTATGGACAGGCTCTCACAGGCATTGTGTCCATGTGTTCTGATGTGTTGGGGCGAGTCGACTACGGCCATCTTATACACATGCCCCCATCTCAGGAGATGCCATCCACGTCTAGTGCAGCGGCGGCTTCATCATCCCAGACGCAGCATGAGAGTGGTTCTTCAATCACGACAACGGCGTAGGCGTAGCCAGGAGCAGCAACATCTCCATGACGAAGCTAACGATGGGAACTTGTAGTCTGTCTTTTGTATTGTAGTTTTTCTTATGCAGTAGATGTTGTAGGAACAATTTACAACATTTGACGTATTTTCTCTTGTAAAGTCTTGTATGTTGTCTTGATGTGTTCGAGTCTGAATATTAGATGATTACTTGTTATGAATATTGAATGATTGTACTTTGTTATACCGGTTATTTTGAAGTTGTTTTTTATGTTGATGAGAGGGGGTGTTATGTATGTGATTAAGAATACGTGTGTTGTATGTTTAATAATATGTTTTATAATGTCTTGTATCTGGCTCGTAACACTTAAACAGGAGAAGAGAGATCTTATTTATAGCAAACAGATGAGTCCGGGTTGAATTGGGGCGAAAAATCTGCTCAAATACTGTTTTTGGACCTAGGCACGATCGTGCGTCCCAGGGTACGCACGATCGTGCGTGGCTGGCAGTAGCTGCTCGCCTTCAGCCATATTTCAGGGGTAAGTCGCCCAACGGTTGGGCGACTTACCCCTGACCGTGGTTAAGGACCAGCAGTATATTGGTAAATACTTTTTTTTCCAGCATTATTTTCGTAATTAATTAATTAATTAACATTAATTAGAAAAAAAACTCACTTTTTTCATTGTAAACAATTTGTATATTAAATCATAGAACTCAATTTGCTACTTTTTAGCATTGTAAAAAATTTGTATATCACATCATGAGAAAATATAGAATCACAATCAAATAAGTTAGAACTGACGAAATCGTATTCATGGTAAACAATTTGTATATTAAATCATGAGAAACTATACAGTTTACAATCAGATAAACCCAATGATTTCAGAAAACAACCCTCGTGAGCAAACAACTCGGTAATCTCTTGACGGGCAGATCTAAGCTGTTTCCTACCAATATGAGTTAGAAACTAAAGACGACAACTACAACGAACCGTCTACATTCCAACTCAACGAAAGTAATAAAACCAAAGTAAAACAATCCATAGCTAGCACAAGTTGTAACAACAGAGAAAAACAGGCAAGCAACAAAAACTGAAATCGACATCTAATTAGAAAGCTCTCGCATTTGTTGACCACTTCCTCTACGTCTCCAAACAAAACAAGTCTTTCGTCTTCCTCGCATTTGTTGACCCCCTCCTCCATGTCTCCATACCAAACAAGTCTTTCGTCTTCCTCATGCAGAATCTCAAGGTGGTATTCACACTGATCCACGAGCTTGAAGTGGCGATTAGAAACTGTTTTCCAAAAAGTCGGTTTGACCAGTCATATAAAAGGAAACCTCTTTTACCTCAAAACTTGGTTGTAGTTCAGGGGGTGAAATGCCTATCAATGTTCAAACCTTGGGAAAAATTGTATAACACAAGTGTTGTCAGCCTCAAACTCTTGAACTTTGCGCCCCATCAACGTTGTGAGAGATCAAAATCATCATAGGCATGGTACCTCAAACCGTAAAATCGGAGAACCAAACCGAAATCACCAGTTTCACTCGGTTCATCACAATCCGGACTTAAGATCTTTTCAGATCGGTTCCTAAAGTTTTAAATTCAGTTCCATTCTGGTTATGAAAAAAAAAATCCCTGTTAGGAACCGAAGTTAGTATGCAATTACGGAAAATTAAAATGGAAACTACTATTTACGAAAATTTTGGAGAGCACGTAACGTGCTCTTTATTGAGCATGTAGTGCGGTTCATGAGAGAAAAACACCTTGTATGAGGTTTCACAATTATTAGTGATGGAGTTTAATCCAACTACGAGAGCTAAATCTACCGAAAGGTATGAGAAACGTATGAAAAATATAATAGAATATGACAGCGTAAGGCAGTATACTCTTATTCCGAAGGATGAATTGGCCGTCCCTTGGTAGGGTATTTACAAGAAGTATTTATAGACTTTAAGAGTCATTATTTTAGGAGGAATCTCATACAATATGTTAGTCCCTATTTCTAACAACCAAACAATCATAAGAATGAAAGAAGAAGCACATAGATTTCTCATTCATATCAAAGTATCAAGAACTTTGGTACACCGTGTAAACCGGCCGCTGCTCTCCCTCTAGAGAGAGAGAGAGCAGCGTGAAACAATTTTCTCTAAGTACAAATAGTTTTACTTAATTCATTAAATTAATTAATTAATTTTACAATATGTATAACTTTAAAAAAAAATGAAATAAAACCTCCCAAACGGCTATATAGCCGTTGGGGCTATGGGTGGGGGGCAGGGGGTCCCGGGGGTGGTGGTGTGGGGAGTGGGGTTCAAAAACATCTATAAATACATCTATTTTCTAACATTTTTCTACACCTCTTCTCCAACTCTTCTCCATCTTCATCTTCTCTTATTATCCTACATTCCTACAATCCTACTTATACATATATCATTTTAAATATGGAAAGTACATCTTCCCTTATGCAAAACAATTTTGACAAGTGGAAGGACCCGAAGACCGGACTGTGGTGGGCAACTTGCAAGTGGTGCAAGAAAGAGTGTTGCTTGGGGCGTTCACACGGATACGGGATGCCAATAAAACATATGAAGTCCTGTGACAAAGGGAAAACAACAACCAACGGTGGCGGAAATCTCAATTGATATTCATTAGAAAATGTATTTTGTATTGTTATTTTTTTCTCAATTCTCAAATGTAGTTCCTATTTCAAATAAATGCACTTGAACTTTGTTTTTAATAGGAATTTGTATAATATATAATTAATTTAAAAAAAAAATACTGGCCCGGCCCGACGGGTGGCCCGACCCGTGACCCGGCCGGGTGGCCCGGCCCGAACCGGAACCGGCCATTGCCCGGGCCAGTCCCGGGCCTACCTTTACCAGACCCGAGGCCCGACCGGGCCTTGGCCCGGCCCGGGTCCATCACTATTCCCTGACGTCCGGAGCGTGCCCTCCCCCATTGATTTAATAGCTTCTTTAGACGAGGAGTACTACCCATTTGACGAGGAAGACACGTCCCCTCGGATTAGACTCAAGCTTGTGGATTAGTTCGACATTGAGATGGAGAATACAAGCGAGTATCGTATTGAGGACGACGAAGAGAGGTTGAGAGGTCACGCTGGTTCGACATCTTCTGGTGAAGACGAGGGGGACTCAGGCTCACCGTGTAGGAAAGACGGTGCCTCCTCATCGTCCGTGATTCCCTGCCCCCACCCCCACTTTCAATTCTCCGTTCAGGGTGATTCCTCTCTGGCTAGGATTCAGAGGAGAAAACACCAGCCCGATCTGAGAAAATGCTTGACTTCGAGGCTCTCCCAACAGGACCTTACTAACATGTACATCATTCGGCTGGAGAGCTCGGTGGGTGAGTATCACGTCGCTCAAATGTACGTAGGCCCCTATGGTAGGGTGCAGGCCTCAAACTTGACAAACCATGTGTTTTCTCCTCCGGTGGGGTATTCTGGAATCTTCAATTTGCATACTCCGGTGATGATGAGACCGTTAAAGCTCAGGTGAAAGACTTCCTACGAGATGGGTCGAGGAGCGTAAAAGAGTACATCATCGAGTACAAGATGGCTGCCCTCGGCTTCGTCAGGTATTACATCCCGGAGATGTGGACAACGGCTTCTACCCGAAGATACAATGCTCTTTTGAGAAGGCCGATGGACCTCGTCAGGTATTACATCCCAGGAGATGTGGAAAATGGATTCTACCCCAAGATACAATGCTCTTTTGAGAAGGCCGATGGACCTTTTCAGGGTGTAACTGTTGCGGCTAAAGGTCGAGCATCGTATTGCCCAATCATCTTGTCTCCTTGTGTATTGTTATTTTGACTAACTGTTTGCCATTTAATTTGCAGAGTTTGAGATGAGTTGGATGATGTTCATGACTCAGGCCGCCGGGAAGGTGGAGTCCGAACTCCAGGCTGCCAAAGGATCTGAGGGTTCCCAACAGCCTTCGGCCAATGGCGGCAAGATGAAGTCGGATGCTGCCAAGAAACCTTCGGTGGCGAAGAAGAAAAAGAGTCTTGTTTCTGAAGAAGGCTAGAAGACCTTGACTGAGGCCGGCCTGTGGCCGTCGAAATCCGTGAAGAAAACGAAGAAGGGCAATGACTCAACCAGTGTTGTTGTGGCCAATGCTGTCCAACACACGGATGGGGGAGGTTGTGAGGTCGAAGTCGTCATGGTTGAGGACCTCACTGAGGGGCCCTCTTCGGCTGCCTTACTCAGCCTCATCCCCTTAATACTGAAATCCCCTCTACCAATATCGACTTCGGTCGAGAGGTGGTCAGGGGGCTATATGATGACGTGGTCCGCTACCCGCTGAGGGGCGGTACCTTCAATGAGATCGTGAGTGGCCATGAGATCGTCTCCCAGGCTATCCCCGACGAGGATCATGCGTATCTCCGTCGGCTGAAGAGCGTCCAAATGTACGATAGGGCTATGGATAATATTCTCTGTAAGTGGTAGTTTTGTACTTAGCCATATTTTCAATTGATATATGTCTGTCAGCTAACACGGTGTGTGCTTCATTCAGGGCGTTTTCTTGCCGATGGAGCACCAGAAGAGGAGTTTGCCCATCTGCGGGAGTTTGAGAAGAAAGCCTCTTCGGCCGTTGAGGCCCCAAAGGACCTGGACCGGCTGCGAACAGAGTTTGATGACCTGAAGAAAAAGGTTGATGCTGTCGAGCAAGAGAAAAATTCTCTTCAGTCCAAGTTGGACGAGAAGGTGGCTGCTCGGACCAAGGCCGATGAGGCTCGAGACGCAGCCGAACGCCGGGTGTGGAAGTCGAGCGGCTTTCCAACGAAACCAAGAGAGCTACTGACGGAGCAATTAACAAGTTCATGGCAGAAGAGTGGAAGGTCGAGGAAAGGCGTCCCTAGTGTTACGAGGTCATGGTTTCCAGGGTTTCAGATTGGACGACGAATGACCCAGCTGGCCATGGGTTATGGCAGAAGGATATGAAGGTCTTCTTTGACTTGGGCCAGTTCCGTATGCAAAAGCTTATCTACAGGAGGCTCCACCGGTTTCATAATATGAAGCCTGCTGGCCTTTGCCTCCCCCATCGGAT